TCCCAATAACAATTAACACACAATTAAGTAATAATTAAGCATAAAATTGTACAATTGGACATTAAATGCTAAAAAATGCAAAAGATGCCTATTTTTGTGATTTTCATTTTTTGTAAAACAAACTTAATTACTAAAAATTGTAGGATTAAATCTTAAATANATGCGACGGACTGTGTGTGACTGGCTGGACGGAGCAGCAGCTGCGCGATGACAGTAGGGTCGTTAGGACGAAGAACGAAGAAGAAGCAGCAGCCATGAACGGCTGCTGCGTGTGTGCGTTTTCTATTGTGTATGTGTGTGTATGTGTTGATGTGTCTGTGTGTGAGTGTGAAGGGGTGAGGGGGTGTGTGTGTGTGGAGATGGTAAAGAGGGTAGCCATTGATGGCTTGCTTGGAGCTTGAGGAAGAAGAAGGAAAGTGAGGGGGAGGGGAGGGGGCGGGCTTCAACAGTGAAAGAAAAGACTGTTAGGGTTTTTTTTTTGAAAGATAGGGAAATAGGGGTGTTGGGTTATGGACTGGGTCGACCAGGTTTGAAATGGACCGGGTCATGGGGAAGGTTGGGTATTTTTTGGGCCCGTGGCTTGAATTTGAAGAAGAGGCCTAATTCCGATTTTCTTTATTTTTTTGCTCTCTTTTCTTCTTTTATTTTTTCTAAAACTAAATTCTAAAAATCCTTAAACTATCATATAGAACTAAATTAATTTATAAAAGCGCAAATTAACTCCCAATAACAATTAACACACAATTAAGTAATAATTAAGCATAAAATTGTACAATTGGACATTAAATGCTAAAAAATGCAAAAGATGCCTATTTTTGTGATTTTCATTTTTTGTAAAACAAACTTAATTACTAAAAATTGTAGGATTAAATCTTAAATACAAATGCGATATATTTTTGTATTTTTATTAATTTAACAAATAAACATGCGCAGACAAAAATGCAAATAATTATCCAAAAATACCACAAAAATTCAAAAATTGCACACCAAGGAAAATTATTTTATTTTGAATTTTTTGGGAGTAATTATTTCATAGGGCAAGAATCACGTGCTTACACCATCTCCACACACATATGCCAACTCTTCAAGTCTTGGATACATGTTATAGTAAACATCATACCCAAGATGCCTTTACCATTATGTCAACAACAGCTCCAAATATGCTACCCTCTGCCTGTACAAAGCAAACACTGCCAGGAGATCCCTCTTTCTCCTGATCTCATGCAGTAGCATCACTCACAACAACCTACCATCCATTCAACTCCAAAGCAGGAAATTTCTAGGGACTCAGACCTAGTCACCTTGCCTTCTTCACCTATCAGCCTCCAACAACAAAAGCACACTCATGGCAACAGTTTACCCAACAATTAGAAGTCAGTTCTAGGCCACAAGCTCTACCAGACAAATGAAGCAAGACAGTGCTCATTCCCTTCTGTCAATAGCAACAAGCGGCAGCTACTCAACCCAGTTCCCTGGGCCTTTTTGATAACTATCTTCAACCTAGCTTTCTTTTTTCAATGTCAAAGTAGAGTTAAAGATAGTCCTCTCCATTTTCACATGTCTTTTGTCATACTCAATAGAGAACTTCTACACTTTTGTTAGATGTAGAATTGTTTGTACATGAAAGATGATATTCCAGTACAATACTTTGGTATATTTAGGATCACTTGTGCAATTTTGTATAGTTGATCTAGGCTTACTTCAGATTGTTTTTGTATATCCAATTATCTATCATTTCTGGGTAGATAATTGGAACATCATTATAGGTCTAACCCATCATAGCATTCAGGATCCATTTGGTTGTCAAGTTTGGACAACCAAGTGTTCTTTCAGCATATGTCTGGAGGTCTGGTTTTTGTCCCCCTCCTTTGTTGTACCTTATGTTATATATATGGAAAAGTGATTACAATTATTAAATAAAAAAGGATACCAGATATCTACTCTATCTCCTCGTCTGTTTTTTTGTATTATATCGGTAGATAAGTTATAATGGGAAGCAAAAGGAACAAACACAAGTTTAGCACATGTCATATTAAATCTCTTGAGGACCTTCAATATAGGACCATTAAGATAACATTAGCTTCCTAATCCTTCTATCTCTAGTAATCTTTATTCCTAATATCTTCTTTGCAATACCCAAATTCTTCATCTTAAACTCCTCACATAACTGCTTCTTCAATCGGATAATATGTGACATGCTTTTAGCAGCAATAAGCATGTCATCCACATACGGCAGTAAATACACAAGAGAACCATCTTCAAGCTTCTTATAATACACACAATTGTCATGTACACTTCGAGAAAAAATATTCTGAATCATAAATGTATCAAATCTTTTATACCACCCTTAGACGACTGTTTCAGTCCATATAAAAATTTTTTAAGTAAGCAAACATGATTTTATTTAATTGGAGTGATGAATGCCTCGGGTTGACTCATGTAAATCTGTTCTTCTAATTCACCATGCAAATTTCAATTTTCACATCTAACTTCTCTAGCTCTAAGTCATGAAGAGCAACCAAAGCTAGTAAGACTCTAATAGAGTTATGCTTCACCACTAGAGAGAACACTTAATTATAATTTATTCCCTCTCTCTACGTAAAATCATTAGCTACTAACCTTGCCTTATACACTGATGCTTTAACCCTTGGATTACATTCCATTCTTTTGAAAATCTATTTGTAGCCTACTACCTTTTGTCCTTTTGGCAATGGAACAAACTTCCTTATCTGATTCTTATGAAGAGACTCAATTTCGTCACTTTTAGCATCAAACCATTAATACCCTTCTGGACTAAAAATAGTTTCTTTATAGTTATTAAGCTCAGGCACATCTAAAGGCTCAAGCACATTATTGGTCTCTATAACTGATAAAGTAAATTCTATAATATTTATATATCCAAGAAGATTTTCATTGACTATGTTTGTAAACCTTTGTGGTCGTTTGACCATACTCGTCTCTTTGCTTGTTGCAATGGTAAATGGTTGTTATTGTATAGGTACATCAATATTATCATCTTGATTATTTCAGCACATCTATTTCCTATACTTATGAAGTACTGGACTGAGCTAGCGGAGATTTAATTTCTTGTTCTATACGGTCACTGATACCACTATTTGTGTTTTACTATCGTCTTCTCCCGTAACTTTCTAGTGAGGCAGATTCATTGAATGTCACATTCCTACTGATTATTAACTCTGGAGTCTTATGATATGTGCATCACAACTTGTAATCTTTCACTCCAGTTGCGTACCCTACAAACATGTCTTTTTTACCATCAACTCATGTTTGCCATCTCTAACGTGAGCATATGCAGGACAACCGGTATCCTCTTTGAATAATTAGCATGTGAACGGAGTCATACCTCAAAAGAAGTTTTAAACTTAATAAGTGTAGATGAAGATCCGTTGACCAAATGACAAGAAGTATTAATTGCTTCAGCCCAAAAATACTTGCTAACACATAAGTGTGAAAGTATGCTTTTGTACCCTATCACAAAGCATCTTGTTTGTATGTCCTTCAATACCATTTTATGGTGTTTCGGTACAAGTGTGGTGTCCTGTTACACCCTCTCTGTTGCAGAAATTATTGAATTTAAATTATAAAATCTAATCCGTTATCAGTCCGATGCACTTAACTTTTCTTTCTGTCTATGTTTCAACCACCGCCTTCTATTTAACAAATATCGAAAATGTCTCATTTTTTATATTTAGAAAATACACTAACACCATTCTTGAGTAATCATCAATTAAAGGCATAAACTATTGGCACCATTCTTGGAGGGAACTTTATTTGGATCCTATAAGTTTGAATGTGTATAATCTAGCTTGTCTCTGATCTTTTGCTTTGCATTCTTGATGAATTGCAACTTTGTCTCCTTACCAAATACACAATGCTAAAAAATATTCAAAGTTTAATTTTTGTACGTATCCAACAAATTTTATTTGCACAGCAAAGACAATCTATTATCACTCATATGACCAAGTTGAACTTAAACCCTTGATAATCCAAAGTCAAAAGTGAAACTAAATTCCTCCTCATTTGAGGAACATGCCAACACTCAATATTTTTGATAATTCCATCAAACATTCTCAATTTGATATTACCGATCCCCTCTACTGATAATAAATAATATTCTCTCAAGTAGACAGTTCGCTCATTTACTTTTATGTTGCAAAGCAAATCTTATGTGGACACAGGTGGAAAGTTACAATAGAATCAAGAACTCAAAAAATTTGTCCATGACTAGAACTCACGGCACACACTTTCCCTACATAGTCAATATCATTAGGATTTTTTTTGTGTCAATAATATTTGCAGTAGTATTTATTTTCCACTTCCCTCTTTTCTCTTTTAGCTTAAGATAATATCCCCTATAGTGACCTGCTTCCCCACTCATATTAGCTCCACTCTTTTCTATGGACTTCGATCTCGCATTAAACTTTTTCCTATTAAAGTTTTTTTTTTGTATTTTTCCTCTACTCACAAGATCTTCACCCTCAGTTTTGCTTTCTGAAAAGCTTTTTTTTAACTCTTTGGATTTTAGTGCATTACTAATATCATTAAGTAAAATACTGACGTATCAGTAAAAGTATCGTAAAATGGTGATAAAGAATATAATGCAATCAAGACCTAATCCTCACACTCAGTTTTGATATCAATGTCTTCGGTCCATTATAATTGAATTGAACTCATCAAGGTGAGTTTTAACATGTGTATCTTCGTTCATATGGAGATAATACAACCTCATTTTTAAGTAGAGGCGATTTGCTAGTAATTTCTTATAATACAGATCTTTCAGCGTCTTCTATACAATTTTTATAGAAGTTTCTTCAGCAATTTTCCAAAGAACGCTAACTATAATGCTCATGAAGATCGCACTCAAAGTCCTCTCCTTCAGGCCTACCTTCTCTAACTCTTTCATCTCTTTAGGAAAATTCTCATCAATTACATTCCATAATCTTTGTGACTCAGGGACGATTTCATACTAATCTTCTGTAGATTAAAATTAGATCCCCATCGAATTTCTCTAATTCGTAATTTATTGAAGATGATGAAGACATCTTAATCTTAGATTGCGTGTAGAAACCCTTCTGGTTTTGATATCAATTATTGTTAAAGATCGTGGGTCACCTATCAAAGAGAGTTTTCCACCATGATTAAGAAGAATAGCACAGTAATATATATATATATAAATAAAAGTAGTCCTAAACTTATAAGAGAATAGTTTTTCAAATCCTACAAGAACAGTAGATTTTTCTTTTTCAAATCTATTAAAATAATTTATTTCTCAAACCTACCGGCAGTATGAGTTTTCTAAAAATACATAAAAAAAAAGTGTAATTTAACTATAATTCATAAAATTCAAGACACAACTAACATGAAAGTATAAGGTAATTATTATTCAGTCCAAGGGAAATGGCATCGCATTGGATGCCACACATTGACCAGACATTAAGGCGGCAATATA